TCTTTCCTACCCATTCTCCCTTTACCCTCCCTGTTTTGCCACTCACACCACTGGTCCTATAGGGTTCATCGTCCTAGATTCCCTGTATTTTCAGTTCCTATCTGTACCAGGATGCACATTTTCTTTACATAAAACTCTCTCTTATACATGAGTTGCTGTAGATTTGTTTCTCCAAAGTACCTAGACTAACACACTGTCCCCTTGGGATTGTTTATCCTGCCTCTCTTATCTACATAGAAACCAAAAGAGAAAGAAAGAAAGAAAAAAAAAGAGTCCATGCTCATAGTTATCCCGTGTCTACCTATGACCCTGGCCTCGAGCAGCTGTTAAATAGCGAGCAGGCCCTGATAGAAGACATCGTCCATTCCCCTTTTCTTTTGGGGATCCATCTCCCAGGACCCACTTACCCGACAGCACGTATACCCTTTTGGTCCTCAGCAGTCCCGTCCAATGGACGCACCTTTTACAAGACTTTGTTGCTCCTCCTGCATTCAAGGCAGGAGCGATCAAGTGCTCCACCCCACCCCATTGAACCTTTAACTTTCAGTGCAGCGCCCTTGTGAATACCCCCCAACCTGTTCAGAGAAGCCGCCAAGCACGGCCCCTGAGCCAGCTGTCTGCTGTTGAGATGCTCGGGGACTTTTGCTCCCCTGGCTGGTCTGTTGCCCTCCCCTCTTGGTTTGCCCCCACGTGGGCTGGTCATGCAGCCGCTCGCCCCGACCTGTGGCTGTTTGGGAACGAGCAGGGGAATTCTAAGTGATGGCCCTCGTTGGTTCGTGTTTCCGTTCTCCAGAGGCCAACTTGCCCTGTTTCTTGTCTCGTTGCAGGTGATTTTCAAAGCGAAGTCAAAATATTCCCCAGAATTACTCAAATACCGGTGAGTACCCTGGGCATTTTGGGTGTGGTAGAGGATAGTCGTTGTCACGTGTTAGCCCTGGCAGCACACATCAGTCTTCTCCGCAGGGCCAGTGTGGAACACCGGGTTCATCGCCTTTGCCAGAAAGCGCTCCTTCCATCATCACCTACTTGATCCTGTAGCATCTTTGACGACTGTCTTGTTTAGAAACATCCCTTCCAAGAGCCCTGTGTCTTCAATCGGCAGGAGGGGCTGTAGGTTACCTAGACTCCTTTCTGGGGGAAATGGGTTCACAGCAGGGTGGGTGGTACCAATGCTTACCATCCTCAGCTGCTCACTGAAGAAAGGTTACAGGTTTGAGCCCACCCTAGGGACCTAGGAAGCAGGCCTGGTGATCTGCTTCCCAAAACCACCCATCGAAAACCTCGTGGAGTGTGCAGTTTTATTCTGACCTACGTGCAATCGCCGTGAGTTCAGTAGACTTGATGGCAGCCGGTTGATGAATAGAACGAAGAAGAAAACAAAACTGAAAAACGCACTGCCATTGCGTTGAGGCTGACTGATAGCAACCCTACAGGCTGGGGTCCTGTAGGGTTTTGGAGCCTCACTCTTTCCGGGAGTAGAGACCCATCTTTCTCCCATGGAGCAGTTGGTGGTTTTGAACTGTTGCCGACCTTACTATCAGTGGGCTGGCATGTAACTGCCGTGCTACCAGGGCTCCTGAAGGAAGAAGGGTTCCCTGAAGATGGTGATGTGGGACCACAGTGTTCTGTGGCCCTCCTGACACCCCATCCCTGCCCTGTGCTCACACAGCTGGGCAGACAGTCCGTCTGTTCTCTGTGTGCCCAGTCCTCTTTGTCTGCAGCTGCAGGCTGCTGCTAGGCCCTTTATTTTCCAGAACGACACAATCCATCGTACAGTAACAGCTTCCGAGTGACTGTGTGACCTGCTGGTATTGTCAGCGGCCCACAAGCTGGCTCTCACTCACGGCAAGTACATGCAGCACAGAACAAAAACATGCCTGGCCTTGCACCACCTTCCAGTTGGTTGGTGTGTTTGAGTTCATTGTTTTCAACAACTCTGTCAGTCTACCTCCTTGCGGATTTCCCTTGTTCCTCTAACCTTCTGCTTGACCCAACAGGATGTCCTTTGGAAGGGTTGGTCCTTCGTGATGGACATATCCAAAATAAGCAAGCTAAAGCCTTGCCATCCTTGCTTCTAAGGAAGATTCTAGTTTCATTCTTTCCAAGGCTGGTGTGCTCATTTGACTGGTCTGCTGTATAGTTAATAACTCGCTAGCTAGGTATTTATTGATGATTCCACCAGCAAACACAAGATTTCCTAAAGTTTTTGGGGAAATGGAATTACATAATGAAAATTTCCATAAGCCTTTTGAAGCGCCCTCGTGTATTTTTGACATTTAAGACTCAGGCGCAGTGCAGCAGGACTGTCTGTGACCTTGAGAGATGTGCACTTCTGCATAATGCTTGCAGAACCCAGGCGCTCTGCGAGGAAGGCCAGCTGCACGCAGAAACACGGGGTGACACGAACAGCCCCTGCCGGGGGCCTTACTTCTTCCACAGTTTCCACGATGTCCACAGCGCGTGGCTGTACTCAAGCCAACCGAGAACAGTTTCATTTTTCCACTGACCTCCCCCTTTGGCCCACATTAGCTTGTTCTTTTGCAGAATCGGGGCCGATCTCATTCTCATTCGGTTGTTGTCTTTGCCAGTAGGTAGCTTTTCGTCACGGTGACTGAAGGCGTGTGGTCCCTGGACGCGATGGGATTGCTCAGGGGCATTTTGATTTTTAAAATTCTCCTGATTTCCCACTCCATTGTTAATATCTATTTTATGGCAAGACCGTGAGCTAGGCTCGTCTTTGCTGTTCTTTAAGAAGGGGGGGGGAGTGCGGGGTGGAGACCCAAAGCCCATTAGTAGGCCACTGGAGATACCCTTGCAGAGGGGTCTCGGGGAGGAGATGAGCCAGTCAGGGTGCGATGTAGCAATGGTGAAAAATACAACTTTCCTCTAGTTCCTAAATGTTTCCTCCCCCCTCCCACTATCATGATCCGAATTCCACCTGGCAAGTCTGGCTAGACCAGAGGATGTACACTGGTAGAGATAGGAACTGGAAACACAGGGAATCCAGGGAGGATGATCCCTACAGGACCAGTGGCGTGAGTGGCGATACTGGGAGGGTAGAAGGAGGGTGGGTTGGAAAGAGGGAACCGATTACAAGGAACTATATGTGACGTCCTCCCTGGGGGATGGACAACTGAAAAGTGAGTGAAGGGAGACGTCGGACAGGGCAAGATATGACAAAATAATAATTTATAAATCATCAAGGGCTCATGAGGGAGGGGGAGAGGGGAGGGAGGAGAAAAAATGAGGACCTGATGCCAGGGGCCTAAGTGGAGAGCAAATGTTTTGAGAATGGTGAGGACAATGAATGTACAAATGTGCTTGACACAATTGATGTATGTATGGATTGTGATAAGAGTTGTATGAGCCCCTAATAAAATGATTTAAAAAATTTCTAAGATACTGGAAGAGACATTTAAACCACTTTGCATCATTCTTACCCCCTCTCCTGACAATGAACCAGTTGCCATCAGGTCAGCTCGAGCGCCTGCTGACTCCGTGTGTGTCAGTCAATGAAGGTCCATGTAAATGAAGGTTCAGTGTGGGAGGTGTCAGCAGTCGATTACCAGGGCTTCCCCGGGGCAGCTCCAAACTGCCCACCTTCCAGTCAGGAGCCAGGTGGGTTAATTGCTTGCCTTGGGACACCTGTCACAACCCCAAACCCCAACCAAACTCGCCAGGTGGGTTAATTGCTTGCCTTGGGACACCTGTCACGACCCCAAACCCCAACCAAACTCGCTGCCATCGAGTCAAGGCTGACTCATAGGGACCCCAGGCGGGTTTCCGAGACTGGAACTGTTCACAGGGACAGAAAGCCCTGTCTTTCTCCACGAGAGCTGCTGGTGGATTTGAACTGCCCACCATGCGGATCACAGCCCATTGCATGACCTCGACACCACCAGGGCTCTACATTCAATCGGCTCCTCTTACAATAGGACGTCATGAAGGCTGGCGGTGCCCTAATTGAGGTGTTTCCTGCCAGGATGTTGACCCTGGTGTGGTGGTGGTGGTGGTGGTGGAGTATGGGAGGGTTGCCTGGAGACACGTCTTATTCCTCACGCATTGACACACCCGCTCTTCCAGGGCCACCCTGACCCTCAGGCCTCATGGGAAAATGTGCTTTTCATAGGCCCTGGATCTCACTGGATCTTTTTCTCATCATGCCCAGATGGGTGACTTAAACTGACCTTGTCATTATGGCCATACTTTTTATTCCTTGAACCATCCCAGTTGCTCCCCAAAGGGTCTTCTTTGTCTGGCCCCTGGACCCCAGATCTCCCCCAGACCTTTTATAATCATTTTTATTAGGGGCTCGTACAACTCCTATCACCATCCATCCATACATCAATTGTGTAAAGCACATTTGTACATTCATTGCCCTCATCA